ACTGTTAACGTTATAAGTGGGGGTGAAGACATTAATGGTGTGTCATATACTGCGGCTAACAAAACTTCCAAAATAACTATTACCCAAGGGAAACAGGTGCGGCATGTTCTAGAAGAAGGCAATATTACATTCAATGATGCAAATACAAATGGCGTATTAATCCCTCAAAACGATGCACTGTTAATATCTTTAATTGTGCATGATACTAATGTGAAACGAGTTTTGATTTATCCAGGTAGTTTCGTGAACATTATTTTGCTAAGAGTGCTACGTGAGATGCAAGCTGAAGATGGAGTAATACCAAAGGCGCATACTTTATCTGGATTCGATAATTCCAGTGTCGTCACAAAAGGAGAAGTAACACTCACCACTTTTGTTGAAGGGGTCGTCAAAGATACAAAGTTCTAGGTAGTAGACATAGAGATGGCTTACAACATGATTCTGGGGAGACCATGGATCCATGAAATGGATGTTGTTCCTTCAACCTTGCATCAAGTTATCAAATTTCCATCACCATGGGGAATTTGTCAAATTCGCGGAGATCAACATACATCGCGGGATAATAATTCCGTTGCAGATACAAGCACAAGAAATGAAGGCAAATAGCAATCACAGAAGGCAGTTGAGGACACCACAACACAGACCTCAACTGAACAAGTGCGAATAGATGTAGACTCAAGACCTGATACCATTCAAGAACCAGAAGAGAATAAAGACATCAAAACAACGATAGAGGAATTAGAACATGTCGTGTTGTTTGCTCAGTGGCCTGATAAAAAAGTCTATGTCGGGGCTAATCTTGACCAAGGAATGAAGGTAAGTTAATCGAATTTTTGAAAACTAACATGGACTGCTTTGCTTGGTCCCACTCCGACATGACAGGAATACCACCGGAGGTGATGACTCATAAACTAAATGAAAATCCGTCATATCCTCCTGTGAAGCAAAAGAAAAGAAAGCAGAGAACTTTCAAGAATCAGGTGATTCAAGAAGAAGTCCAAATATTGCTAAAAACTGGTTCCATTCGAGAGGTAAAGTATCCTAACTGGTTAGCTAATACTGTTGTGGTTCCAAAGAAAAATGGTAAGTGGCGGGTTTGTGTGGATTATACAGATCTTAACAAAGCCTGCCCTAAAGATTCTTTTCCACTACCACACATAGATCAATTGATTGATGCAACTGCAGGTCATGAATTGTTAAGTTTTTTAGATGCATATTCAGGATATAATCAGATTAAAATGGATCCGGCAGATGAAGAAAAAACTTCATTCATAACAGACAGGGGGACTTATTGTTATAAAGTAATGCCCTTTGGTCTAAAGAATGCAGGTGCAACGTACCAGAGGTTAGTTACCAAAATGTTTCAGGAATATTTAGGAAAGACAATGGAGGTATATATAGATGATATGCTTGTTAAAACTCAGCACTCAAAAAATCACATATCACACTTGTCTGACACATTTTCAATTCTGCGTAAATATAATATGAAGTTAAATCCCGAAAAATGTGCATTTGGCGTTGCATCAGGCAAGTTTTTGGGTTTTCTTGTTTCTAACCGTGGAATTGAAGTAAATCCTGCACAGATTAAAGCCATTGAAGAAATCCCTGACATACTTTCAAACAAGAAAGAAGTTCAAAGATTAACAGGGAGAATTGCGGCCTTGGGAAGATTCATCTCTAAATCATCAGAGAAGTGTTTTAAATTCTTCTCAGCTCTTAAAAAGCAGGAGCATGTTGAATGGAATGAGGAATGCCAACAAGCACTTAGGAATTTGAAAACGTACTTATCAAATCCGCCTCTGTTGGCAAAACCAAAGGCTGGGGAAAAGCTACTCCTATACCTTGCTGTTTCGGAGGCAGTAAGTGTTGTTCTGGTCCGAGAAGATCAAGGTAAACAATAACCTATCTATTACGTAAGTAAATCTTTGTTAGATGCATAAACGAGGTATCCTCAGTTAGAAAAACTTGCATTTGCGTTAATCATGGCATCTAGGAAGTTAAGACCTTACTTTCAATGTCATCCTATCATTGTGGTAACTACCTACCCTTTACGTAACATACTACATAATCATGAGTTATCGGGTAGGTTAGCTAAGTGGGCAATAGATTTAAGTGAATACGAAATTGCATACCAACCTAGAAATGCTATAAAATTGCAAGTATTAGATGATTTCGTGGCTGATTTTAGTCAGGGAATACAGTTAGAAGCAGAAAGAGAACTACTGGTGTTCAATGGAGCCAACCCAGGAACTTGGACTTTATTCACTGATGGCTCATCTAACGTGAGATGAGCAGGTTTGGGGATAGTATTGGTACCACCTACGGGTGAAACCATTCGACAAGCTATTAAATGTCATTCCATAACTAACAATGAGGCAGAATATGAGGCTATGATTACAGGTTTAGAACTGGCACGGGAACTTGGCATAAATCAGATTATAATCAAGTGTGATTCACAACTCATAGTTAATCAAATGCTGGGGACTTATATAGTCAGGGAAGTAAGGATGCATCAGTATTTGGAAAAGGCACGGGAATTGATAAAACAATTTCAAGATTGGAAAATTAGACAAATACCCAGGGACGAAAATCTTGAAGCAGACGCCCTAGCTAATCTCGCATCTGCGGCCGACGTGGCAAACGATGCAAATGCCTCAGTGATACATTTATTTCATTCAGTTCTTGATCCTGATGTTAACGAGGTAAATTTTAATAATTTAACTTGGGATTGGAGGAACGAAATTGTTGTTTTTTTGCAGTACGGAACTGTTCCTGATGACAAGAAAAAGGCTTGTGCACTTCGAAGAAAAACTGCTCGGTACTACTTAAAACAAGGCAATTTATATCGTAAAATGTTCGGTGGTCCATTAGCAAGATGTCTTGGACCTTCGCAAACAGAGTATGTAATGAGAGAAGTACACGAGGGTCATTGCAGGAATCACACAGGTGGCAGATCACTGGAAAGAACCTTGATTAAGGCAGGTTATTGGCCTAAAATGGAAGAAGAGGCAGAAAGTTTCGTGGCCAAATGTGATAAATGCCAAAGGTACGGTAACAATATGCATAGACCTGCGGAATTGTTACATCCGGTCATTGCACCATGGCCATTTATGAAATGGGGAATGGATATCGTAGGTCCATTATCGCAAGCAAAAGGACAAGTAAATTTTTTGCTTGTTCTCACTGATTATTTTACTAAATGGGTAGAAGGCAGGCGCATTCAAACAGGTACGAGAAAAGGAAGTTAGAGATTTTATTTGACGAAATATCATATGTCGATTCGGCGTAACAAAGGAGATCGTATGTGATAATGGCCCTCAATTTATTGGAGCTCAGATCACGGAATTTTTTCAAAGTTGGCAAATTAAAGGATTACATCAACACTATACCATCTAGTGGGTAATGGGTAGGCAGAGTAAACAAACAAGATTATCATTAACAATTTGAAAAAGCGTTTACAAGAAGCAAAAGGTAACTGGCCTGAAGTATTACCTGGGGTTTTATGGGCATATCGAACAACTGCTAAAACAAGTGTGGGCGAAACACCATTCTCGTTGGTTTACGGAGCCGAAGCCTTGATTCCAGTTGAGATAGGAGAGCCGAGCACACTGTTCATGCAGGCAACGGAGGAGTCTAATAGAAAAGAGATGCGGGTCAATCTTGATTTACTCGAGGGAAGAAGAGAAGCTGCATTAATAAGGATGGCAGCACAAAAGCAAGTCATTGAATGATATTACAACCGAAAAACGCGCCTCAAGTTCTTCAAAATTGGGGACTTCGTTCTTAAAAAGGTCTTTCAATCTACAAAGGTAACTAACTCAGGGAAATTAAGTCCAATATAGGAAGGACCCTACAGAATTAGTGATGTTGCAGGAAAGGGAGCGTATGAACTGGAAACAATGGATGGCAAGATACTGCCTTCACATTGGAATTGTGTTCATTTGAAGAGATACTATTTCTAAGGAAAACCCACGGTCAGGTATAACTATTTTAAATTTCATTTTTGAATTATTAATTTTACTAACGATTTTAGATGATAGGCACAAAGCTAGCCCGTACTAATGATGAGTCACGACTTGTAAGGCACACGGAGTAACCTAAAATTCCTAGCCTAGAGTTACAATTATTCTGATAAATAATTTTACGAAAACGGGTTATGCAGTCTTCATCTATAATCGTCCCTCCGAGTCCTGTATGTTTTTCCTTTTCAGGAAAAGGACCAGGATGAGAGAAACAAACAAGTGCTCGAGGCTTCAAACTTCAACGCTCAAACACTTGGGGGACTACATAATATACACAGACATATGTGTAAAAATCAAGCAAAGATTTGAGGAAAAAATCAAGCTTAGAAGAAACAAGTGCAGAGCAAAAGTTACGAAGTTACGACATTCATAGCATTCATCATAGTGTTCTTTCCTATTAAGACAATGAAGAGCTATGGCATTCATCATAGTGTTCTTTCTCATGAGAACAACGGAGTCACTTCTCAAACCCTTCCTAATACATAGAGTTAGGGTAATGACTATGTACTGAAACGGGTTATAAGGAAAAACCTTGTGTGTATTATTTTTCTTTTGTAAAAATCTGTTATAAGAAAAACAATTACGAGAAAGCTATAGATGTAATCCAAATACATGTAAAGTATTATTCAAAAACTTGTCAAGGTTCATAAATATTAACTTGTCAAAGTTATTTCAAACAAAACATGTGTGTTCCTATTCCTTTCATCGTATTATAACACCATTATAAAGTTGAGACGTCTTCTTCATTAAGTGTCGAAAATATAAAAGGGCCCTCTTTTATAAAACTCATGTTATTAAGTCATGAGATTAATCATAGAGCATTTTCAAAGGATAAAAATGCAAGCTATTCTTTAAGTCCTTAAAAATAAAAGGCAAGAATAGAACGAATAGAAGTAATAAAAACTTATTAATATATTTAAAATCTAAAGACTAAGTATAAACTTAGTCATCAAAATTGTTTTATATAGATGCCCCATAATAAGAACTGGGGACTTTTCCTTCTAAAATACCCTTAAAACAAACTAAGGGTTTGATCATTATCTTCCAAAAAGAAAAAAAAAAGAAAAAACAAGTTAAGTTATAAAAACTGGTCACTGGGAGCCAGGAGCATCAGAAGTAACGGTGCCAACATCAGAAGGAGCAGCCACAAGCACGGTGTCAACTTGACTTGAAATAGCAGGCTCGATGAAGTGAGGAAGAGTCACGGAAGCTTCACCTTCAGGAGCTTGGTCCACGGTAGCTTCAACTTCAGGAACTTGAACCAAGGCTACATCAGTTTCGGGAGCTTCAGCCACGGGAACCTCAATTGCGGGAGATGGAAAGTCCAGTGGTTGTTGAGCCTTCTCAATAGTCTCCATGACTTTAGCCAATTCTGACTCTAATTAAAGTTCTCTTGGCTAGCCTCGGTTAAGGCATCACAGCGAGAGTTCAGAAAAGTCCAACTTACCTCAACAGCCATTTTATCCTCGAGAAGCTCTTAGTCTCTTTCCCAAACAACAATTTCACTTTTGAGTTCTTCATTTTCAGCCAAGGTGGAATTGAAGGAGATTTGAAGAGAGGCATTGGAACTTTCCAAAGCACGGATTTTATCAGTAGAGGCCCTCAAGTCCATTTGAGTTTGAGTCAAGCTCTGTGCAAGATCCTTCTCATAAACCTCCTTTTGACTCAGAAGTGCTTTCAACTCTTTAATCTCCTCATCTGCCTTAGATAACCGATCTGAGAAATAAGACTCAAGGCTTTCTTTGTCCTTCTCTGCTTGGGTTGAAGAAGCCTTGGCCACTGCCAATTCCAAAGTCAATGCACGCACCTGCTGCTCCAGGTTACTCCTACTCTCTTGCATATCTTCAATAGCAATTTGTGCACTATCAAATTGCCCTTTCCAATTAGCCGCTTCTAGTTGAGCTTCACGAGTCACTTTCTCGGCCTCAAGAATTGTTTTCTCAGAGTCACGAGCCACCTTCTCTAAAAGAGAAATTCTTCCCATCAACTCTGTACCAATGAGGCTGGCCTCAAAATAATAAAGAAAGAAAGTAAGAATCCAAGAGTAAAAAGAAAAAGAAAATTTTTAAATAAAGAAGGAAAATACCTTCAAAGTGGCATGAACAATGTCGTTCATCAAAGTCAAGCAGCTATGGCTATTCATCTTCTCTTTTTCAATTGAGTCAATCAAAGGCTCAAACCAAACGTCTGCCTGACCAGATTTTCTCAAAAGACTGTTGTTGGCGGGGACTTCAATAGTCATGCTCCTCATGGCAGTAGTTTTGCTCGTAGAACCAACTTCAGTATGATGAACAATAGGAGGGGGAATAATCAAAGGAGGAGCTGGAGAAGAGGTGAGTGCAGTAGAAGAAGGAACGGAAGTAACTAGGGCCGGTATAGAAGGAATCACAGGCACGGGTGATGAACAAGTCAATAAAGGTACTTCATCTAAAACAGGCCCGAGATCACCACTATCAAAACCACTAGAGAAAAGTTGGTCGGTGGATTCATGAGTATCTTGGGGGGTAACATCGTCATCAGAGACGAGATGAACAGGCTCGGCAGAAGAGGCACGGGGAGAGACTTCAGCCTCATCATCGAACATAACACATCTCCTAGCCCTTTTCCTCTTTATCAAAGAGTCATCTTCATCTTCCTCCTCGGAATCTTCTTCAGCAGTTTCCCTCTTCACCAATATGTCCTGAGCTTTCCTTAAAGTGAGTTAAGTTCCTATAGAGGTTCAAGAGGCTGCAACTGCTTCAGCAGAACGCATCGAATTTAAAATCCTGACAAAAAGAAGGATTAAAATTAAGGCAATAAATAGAAGATTTTACATACGAGAAAATATAAAAAAACTCTTACCATGAGTTTTTACTTTCCAATCGTACTGATTGGAGATAGATTTCCAAGACCTGGCCTCCATAGGCGCGGCCTTCAGTAATTTGTCTACCCAACCACAAAAGTTGGGAATTGCTACAAAAAGGAGAGGGAGAGAAAATTAAAAAAAAATCAAAATTGAAAGAAAAGGTACGAGAAGAATAAAAGACTTACGTGCAAAATTCCATTTCTCGGGAAAAGGAACATTTTTTTCACCCACTAAACCAATAGTGGGGGCAGCAACGAATCGAGCATACCAGCAACAATCCTTATCATCTTCGGGGCTTACTAAAACCCTTTTACTCCTAGTTACTAAGGTAAAAACACCGATGCAATAGAGCATGGGGGAGTAAAGATGAATTAGATGAAGAAAGTAAAATCAACACCCGCCTTGTTTGATAAATGTCTTAAGCAAGCCACAACTCTCCAAATGAGTGGGCCGATTTGTGCTAAACAAACTTGGAAAAAATGGCAAAAATCAAGAATTACTAGGTCAATGGCTGGTTTAAATCCTAGAGTAAAGGGATAAGTATAAACGAAAGAAAAACCAGTCATATAAGAAGTAATTCTTTGATTTGGATTAGGAACAACAATTGGGAAGTCATTATTCCAATGACAGTCGTTACAAACTATGGGGGTTAAAACCTCTGTAATCATGGTAGGGTAGGTACCAGCACGACTCAACTCAGAAACTTGTTTCTGAAGTGATTCTCTGTCATGGGTAAAAGATAAGTCGCTAGGAACTATCTCTTCTATCAAAGGTTCTTGTAAAGGTTAAGAAGTTTCTTTACCCTTAGAAGATATTTTCTGAGTAGAAGAACCAGCAGAAGAACTGCCGCCATGGGCAGATCCTAAACTACGGAGTCTACCACCCCTACCCCTTCTATGTCTAACAGGGGCATTGGGGAAGTTATCCAAGATAGGAACTCTTCTAGGATTAGGGTTTGAAGAAGACATGATGAAGAAGGACGAATTAAGGAAGAAGTGAACAGTATCGAGGAATAAAGTATTCAATAACACTTTATGAAGAAGAGGACAAGAGAAAAAGGTTATATTTATGTGAGAAAACGACCGTCAAAGGCAAGAAGTGTAATGATGGAAAGCCTATAATAAAGGTAACTAGCTCTTCGTGAATAGTGGAGCTGTAAAAGCCTTGAAAAAAGGCTGCAAAACTGCAGAACCGATGGGAGAATGACACGTGTATAGAGCATTTAATAGAAGAGACAAGTGAAGCGTCAATGTTGTCACAGCATTAATGATGACATAAATTCCCTTTTTAATGAAATCCACTTCCCAAATATTTAATTTAAAAATAAATGGAAAGTGAGGGGATTGTCTGTATTGGGAAAAATTGAGTTTGTATATTGGAGGTGACGTGTCATGACACGTGGATTAGTCAAATGGTCAAAGAGTTATAATTAGCCAAGAGGCACAAGCAATAACAGATACGAGAGAAGGCGATGAAAGAGGCATGGACAGTTATTCAAATAGTTCAGCGCCCGCACCTGTTTAAGTCATTTAAAGCTCAAAGATCAAGAAGAATCAAGGAAATGAATCTGACAACGCATGAGAGTCCAAATTTAGTATTTAACATACATTAAATACTGAGTACGTTAGAGAATTTATATTTAATATAAATGATTGAGTAACGTTTTTTTTATTGTTATTTATTACCCATAATTGCCTTATTAAGACAAAGGCAATATACATATCTCCAAAAAAACCATTATAAAAAGGAGAGAATGTTTTTGTAAGGACACATAACACAATTGAAATACACTCTGATTCACTTGTTTTTCTCCTGATTACATTCTGGTTATTCCAAATTATTCTCTTCTACATATTCTTTTGATTATCAGTAACCCGCGTTCTTCTAAATTCTAGCTTTGACTAAAATTCTATTTTTTGGTTAAACAGCCTTGGCTACTCTGGCGTCAATGTTATACCATCCGGATAGGCTTATGTTGACCCTATGCATATTCAAGTTCGTGATCAGCATGCCTTTTGTAATGTTGTTGAGGAGGAACTTGATGGTGAACCTTGGTTCCATGATATCCGGGAATACATCAAGATGGGGGTGTATCTGGTACAGGTCACGGGTGATCAAAAGAGAACGATTCGACGCTTGGCTAGTGGATTTTTCTTGAGCGGGGGAGTCTTATACAAGAGAACTCCAGATCTTGGATTGATGAGGTGCATAGATGCTAAACAAGTTTCAGCCATCATGGCCGAAGTTCATTCTGGAGTTTGCGGGCTGCATATGAGCGGATATATTTTGGCAAAGAAAATTCTTTGAGCATGGTATTATTGGCTCACCATGGAACGATATTGCATCAGCTTTGTATGCAAATGTCATCAATACCAGGTACACGGTAATCTGATTCATGCTCCGCCATCTGAGTTGCATACAATGTTCGCACCTTGGTCCTTTGTTGCTTGGGGCATGGATGTTATTGGACCAATTGAGCCAGCAGCATCGAACGAGCACAGGTTTATTCTAGTGGCCATCGATTACTTCACCAAGTAGGTCGAAGCTGTGACTTTCAAATCTGTGACCAAGAATGCAGTAGTGGATTTTGTGCATTCAAATCTCATTTGCCAGTTCGGAATCCCTAAGGTAATCATCATGGACAATGCGACTAATCTCAACAGTCATCTGATGAAAGAGGTATGCCAATAGTTCAAGATTATGCATCGAAATTCCACTCCCTATCACCTGTCACACCTCCTTTTTACACCCCGAGGGGGTATATAAGGGAGTTTTTCCAATTAAAGTGACATTATTCGAAATGATATTATTTATTTAACCAGAGTCGCCACTTGGGATGGTTCATTTGGTGTCCCAAGTCACCGGTTTATTTTTAAATCCCAAATCGAGGAAATTCGACTTTTATTTTATAATCTCCGAACCAGAAATTCTAGATAAGGAATTATGTTAACCCGGGAGAAGGTGTTAGGCATTCCCGGGTTCCGTGATTCTAGCACGATCGCTTAAACTATTAAAATTTGCCTATTATCCGATTTATTACATGTTTTAACCTATTGTGCGCTTTTAACTTTATAACCGCTTTTAATTATTTTAAAACCACTTTTTAGAAAAATTCAATGTTATTTAAAACACGCCTTGAACCCCGCTACATAAAATGCACCCACGGTTCGCAACATGTTCTATTTAACATTGTTGAGGAATTGAAATTGGGTTACATGAAATGTACACCCGGAATTTAAAAAAAATCATAACTACGTCACGGGAACCATACCCGTAGCTATGATTGAATTATTTAAAGGACTCGCCTAAAGCAACTATGAAGGTTCAAATTAATAAAAAGTTTTGTGAGGGCCATGGATAATTTAATTGATGGCACACCTCAAATTTTCTATATAAAAAAAAAGCTAACTAGTTTTGCGAGGGCCATGGGCTTAGGGGTTTTATTTGGCATGGCACGCCTCAATTTATTTCAAAGGATTTTATTATTCGAAGTTGTTATAATCGGGTTACATGAAATGAATCCCCGAATTTTGGAATTAGGTATCGTAACTATGTTACGGGAACCGTACCCATAATCACAATAGTTTATTAATCGCACCTAAAGCAACTAGCGTATTTGAATTTTTCCTAAGTGAAACAGATTTAAAAAAAAATCTTAATCTCTGTATATGCTTGGCTTCCTTTTTTTTTCATTTGGCTTTATTGTCCACCATATTTATATGCTTGTCTCCTGCCACTTCCTTCTACTACTATATGCATTCAGCTTATGGATTAGTTAGGAAGAGATATGATAGCTTTAATTACTGTATATTTGTAATAGGAGAGCTTGTTCCTTCCATAGTATTTGTGGCACGGTAAGATATTAGGCATAATGCCCTTTTATGCTCTTTGTGTTTCCGGTTAACTATTACTAATAAAAAGGAATATTCTCAGAAGTGCAACACAATCTCCACTCCAAAGCTAGTTATATTCACATTACAACAATACACGGAAAATTTTAAAAAAAAATAATTTTTAACAAACTCAAATATCATGGCATTTAGGTTAGAGCTATCTTGAACATGACATAAATATTTAGCTAGTCACAAAATAAGCATAAACTTGATTTAACATTTATTAAAATTAACAATAATGTATAAAGTCAAGAACAAGTTTGAGAGATGGACCTTAATTTGTTGAACAAAATTCCGAAATTCTAAAATCAAATGTTGGGCTCGAACTACGGAAAGCCAGAGACCTCAAATAGCACTTCGTCGACTCAATTCCTATCTCGAGACTTTAAACTCTGAAATTGTCATTCAAATCTGAGCAACCAAAAAAAAAACTTGAACCGAATGGAAGACTAATTGATTTTCAATTTTGGGTTGAGGAGGTAGGTGTTTGTATCTATATATGATGAGAAAAGCAAGAATCTGAAAATGGGTGTTGTAAAGTGATGGAAAAAGTTAAAATCTAGTTATGGAGAAAGAGTAAACTTCCAATCCGTTCCACTCTCTTTATTCTCTTTCTATTTCATTTTTTGTTGTTTTTCCCTGCCATGGTTTTTCTTGTCCCTTCTTCACTTTGGAATTTAGGAATCCAATGAAAGATTGCCTTAGTTCTTCACTTTTTCCAAATGCTGCTACCGTTTTTGTTTCCTTTTAGTCTTAGGTCCTTTTGTTTTTTGGAGTTAGCACTACTTTATAGGGGTAGGAATTAGGTTAGGTCAAATGGGGAATGGGTATGGGCTCAATGTTTTGGGCTTGAAGGGATTTGAGTCATAAATTTGGGCTAATTAACTTTGGGGTAGGAAGACTAAATCAAAATCTTTTTTTTTCCTCTTTCATTTTTTTTTTCTTTGATTTTAAAATCTAATAAAATCCTAAATTAATCCTAAATCGGTCTAATTTGTAAAAGTTAAAATTTTTTTATTTATTAAAACAACTAATTAACTTAAAAGTAAATAAAAACACTACTTTCTAAAGACTAAAAGCTAAATATGTAAAAATGATTATTTTGGGATTTTTTCTAATAAAATTAATTCCTACCTGCAAATTGGACTTAAAATGACATGAAATTAAAAAGTGGCATTTTTTATGATTTTTCTATGATTTTAAAATATTAAAATGCATGAAATGCAACTAAATAAAGAAAAACTTCTAAAATCTCTTAAAAATCATTTTTGGTTTATTTTTTAGGAGTTATTTTTATGTAGGGCAAAAATTAGGTGCTCACATCGCCCCAAGGCAAATGGAGCTATTGAGGCGGCCAACAAGAACATAAAGAAGATACTTCGAAAGATGGTGCAAGGTTCTAGGCAATGGCATGAAAAGTTACCTTTTGCTTTGCTGGGTTATCGCACTACTATTTGCACTTCAGTAGGTGCAACTCCTTATTTGTTGGTATATAGGACCGAAGCAGTTATACCCGCGGAACTCAAGATTCCATCCATTCGAATTGTTGCTAAAGCTAAAATTGACGATGATGAGTGGGTTAAAACCCGATTGGAGCAGTTAAGTCTGATTGATGAGAAAATACTGGCGGCAGTATGTCAAGGTCAATTGTATCAGAAGAGAATGACAAGAACATACAACAAGAAGGTGCGCCCCCGAAAATTTGAAGTGGTCAGTAAGTATTGAAACACATCCTTCCACATCAAGCTGAAGCTAAAGGCAAGTTCGTCCCAAACTGGCAGGGACCGTTCATTGTAACGAGAGCGTTGCCCAATGGTGCTTTGTATTTAACAGATATAGAAGGCAAATGCGTAGATATGGCTGTCAATTCTGATGTAGTCAAGAGATATTATGTATGATTTCTTTGGTTTGTCTTCAAATTGTATTGTTTGTATTTGGCGTGTTTCGAAGATTGGAATGACGAAAGCATTTTATTCAGCTATTAAACACTTTTATCCTTTGTTACCCATTTTGAGCCTTATTTATTTTCTTTCATACCCCTCTTTTGGAATCGAACGTTAGAGTTTAGGAATATAAAATAAAATAAAAAAAGAGAAAATGGAAAACTGAAAAAAAAAAGTAAAGCAAAAGAAAGAAAAGAAAAAAGAAGAAAAGAAAAGTAACAAAAATGAAGAAACTCCTATGTCTTGAACTACGTTCGACCTGATTCCTTTTAAAGATACGTAGGTAACCTCACGATTCGGTCCCATCAAAATAAAAATCCAAAATTCCTCAGGCTCAAAGATATTGGGGCAGAAGTTGTGATTTTGCAAAAGACCTGATTCTAAAAGTTGTAATTTTGAACCCTATTATTTTTAATCCGGTATGCCGTCTTTTCTTTCTAACCCTACCCAAAAGCCCACACTCCACTCCAAAGAAATACCTTCTAATCAATCCTTGAGAAATGTCAAGTCAAACAAGATAGATGTATGGTTCGCATCATGGGCAACACTCCGTACTACACAAGGAAAAATGAATAAATGAGAAAGTTTTATTGGTGAAAACCCTCACGGATACCGTAAAGCGATGAAAAGCTAAGAGAAAACTAAAATGAGAGAGTCTTATTGGTGAAAATCCTCGCGGGCACCGTAAGGCGACAGTGCGTTGAGAGATAAACAAATGAGAGAGATTTGTTGGTGAAAACTCATCAGGGAACTACAAGTCAAGTGAGGCTCGTGACTTTGCAGAGAGATTGGATTATGGAAAATCCCGGTTTTCAAAGTATGAAGATGAGGCACAAAATGAAATATGACTAGGTGAATGGTCTGGGTTAATTAATCCGAAATGCATGTCATGATCATTGGAGCCAGCTGCTTTACTCAGATAAGTCTCTTTTCCATTCTTCCTCAAATAGTCATCTCTGTCTAAAATTTCCTCTGTCTTTGTTACTCGAAGTCACTTTGCTTCGTTTTCTTTTGGGTCTACTTCTCTAAGTCTTTTTCAATGTTAGCCTTGTTAAGCAAGCAAGAAAGGATTTCAAAGCTTATTACCAACTTTCAATTGCACAAAGTAAAGTGTGGACAAAGCATACCAAAAATAACATGATTCAGAATGAGAAATAAGGTGTTAGTGGGGAGTTCAAGTGGTTTCGTAAATTTTGAGGGAATATAGAGGTTCAAATTGGAATGACAGAAATGTAAAATAGCAGGATGAGTGTGAGACACTCGGTTCATTTAAGGTTCTACGGTTGAGGTTCAATCAGAAGTTCAAACAATTCTTTGCTAGTTCGAAAGCAGTCAATCGGAACAAAATCATGGTAGTGGAAAGGCCACCGCCTTCAACAGGAATGCCGCAAACTAACCGCCACATTTTAAAACTGATAAGATTTCTTTGATTAAAACAAGGGCAGGATTTCGTTTGTTCTACAGGAATCTTTATGAGAAAGCGTGCGCCAGATAGGTTCAACCTAAGTTATCAGGACCCTCCGGATAATGGAATTTAATTTAAAATTCTCAAGACCCTCCTGGATAATGGGATTTAGTTTCAAGTTTGTCAGGACCTTCCTGGTTATTGGGATTTAGTTTTAAGTTTTCAGGACCCTCCTAGATAATGGAATTTAGTTTTAAGTTTTTAGGACCCTCATAGATAATGAGATTTAGCGCAAGCTTTACCTTTAGGAAGTAGAATTTAGCTTTCAAGATTTCACTCTTAAGATGGGATTTAATTTTAGTTTTCGAGGCCCTCCCGGATAATGGGATTTAGCTTTTAAATACTTAGAAGTTCTTTTGGATAACATGATTTGATTAACACTCACAGATGTTCCCGGTACCAAATTAGGGCAGAAAAGTTTCTTTTGTTTTGTCTGTTTTATTGTAATGTCAGGCGCCCACCTGGAAAATAAGGAAATTCATTCCAAGTCAAGTAGCAGGCACCCACCTGGAGAACAAGGGAATCCATTTCAAGTTTAAGTTGCAGGTTCCCACCTGGAGAACAAGGGAATCCATTTCACGTTTAAGTTGCAAGCGCCTACCTGGAGAACAAGGGAATTTATTTCAAGTTTAAGTTGCAGGCGCCCACCTGGAGAACAAGGGAATTTATTTCAAATTTAAGTTGCAGGCGCCCACCTGGAAAACAAGGGAATTTATTTCAAATTTTAAGTCAGTATAAGGCGCCCACCTAGAGAACAAGGGAATTCATTTCAAGTTTAAGTTGCAGGCGCCCACCTGGAAAACAAGGGAATTTATTTCAAATTTTAAGTCAGTATAAGGCGCCCACCTAGAGAACAAGGGAATTCATTTCAAGTTTAAGTTGCAGGCGCCCACCTGGAAAACAAGGGAATTTATTTCAAATTTTAAGTCAGCATCAGGCGCCCACCTAGAGAACAAGGGAATCCATTTCAAGTTTAAGTTACAGGCACCCACCTGGAGAACAAGGGAATTTATTTCAAATTTTATGTTAGCATCAGTTGCAGGCGCTCATCTGGAGAACAAGGGAATCCATTCAAGTATTAGGTCAAGTAGCAGGTAGAGAACAAGGGAATTCACTTTAAGTATCAAGTCAAGTAGCATACACCTACCTGGGGAACGAGGGAATACATATCAGAGTTAAGTCCATGACAACAGCAGGAACCCACCTGAAGAATGAGGTCAATTCAAGTTAGAAATAACAGAAGTTCGCCTCGAGAGTGCGAGTCAACAGTTCAAGGTACACGGTAGAACTGCAAAAGTTTCAAGATCAAGTTTGAAGACATATAGATAGGAATCTTGTAACTCATAGATTATTGATTTGCCTAACTTCTTCTCATTTTGGTTTTGGTGTAACAAGGAATTCAGCAAGCAGTAACAGCTGCAGCAGCATTGAAATCACAGCTTCCTGATCATGCCTAACTCTAGTCCTAAAAAGGATAAGCGGTCGCTGCAAATATAGTCCGGTCTAAAAGTCCGGAGTCGAATCCCACAGAGAACTAAGACTTAGCCATATCTGTTTAATATCACTAAAAATACAAGTTTGAACAATTTTCTAAATTATAAAGATTGAGATTTATATTTCTAACTAATTAAATAGCAAATACTAGAAAATGGTAAAATTATCAACTAACGAGACAAAGGGTTGGAGACTAAATTAAGGATGTCTAGAGTTATGATTTCCTCAATTGTCGGAATCCTTCTAGATATGTTCCCTACAATATTGCCAATGTATTCTCTACTGATCGTGAGCACTTTAGATGTCGTAATTCTCTCTCGAGCAACTACAACAATTTACTAGACATATTCTTTCAAACTACACTAGTTGACTTTATCTAACCGCTCATTATGACCACGTCAAGACTTTGTTATTTCTAAACCTACCTTTAAACCCGCTGTATTGATTTCTCACATACGTTAGGAGTAACGTTGTTCAACAACCACCTAAATATGTATCCTTTCTCAAGCAACACATAACTACTATTTCGCTTTACAAATACACAGGGCAAGTTTTAGGCATCAAATGCAATACACAGAATATAACAAATCCTTACACACACATGGCATATAACTCACTCAGGATTGGTTTCATAGACACTCTATTCAAAGAAGTTAAGCAAAGTCAAAATCATATAATTTAAGATACTTCTACAAGAGTCAAAAACCGATCCTAAGCATCACAACCAAAGTACTCACTATTCTCAAGGCATAACAAAGTCAAGAGATATTGATCCATTTCAAAACACAACATAATGACTCATATGCCTAAAAAAACTAACTACACCCGATTCA